AGACAGCAGGGCCTCCAGAAATCGCCCTCCTGTTTATTTGAATTTAGGAGTCTGAGACAAGAGCAGCTTGCTAACAAGCTCCAGACCACCAGGCATGTGCAAACGATCACTGCTGATTTTCCAGCACCCGGCCTGGCCTTTCTGTATCAGGTCTCTGTTTCCCTCCCCTCCCTGGCTACTTAAATCTTTTTATTTGCATGTTTCCTGTCCGTCTGAATATTTAACATCCACTGTAGACATAACAAGAAAATGCAAACAAATCTATGTCGAAAGTTTACAACATCTTTCAGTCATGAATGAAATCACTCGAATGAGGCTGTTTTTCCAGTATAAATATTTAATGAATCACATTTTGTGCTTCTTTTTCTTTTTTTTTTCTTAGAAAAATACATCATAACTTGAACATTTTTGTTCATGCTAAAACATGCTAAAAAGGCTGTTTTGCTTTTTGCTTATACATTTACAGCCATACATTAACTCATTTCGCACCTATATCCTTTTAATTTAGGATAATCCTCTAGGCGACCTTTCATTCATTATCTGTCATTTCTAAAAGTCATTTCTCTTTCCCAGAATGACTGCATAGCTTTCGTCATGGAGTTAAATACTGCAGGTGTCAAACCAGCACCAATAACAATTAAAAAAAGAAAAAAACACAGGGAACCTGAAGACCAACTAAGAGCTGAGTCTCAGAAAGCAAGAAGGTACAAACAAAGAACAAACTCAAAACCAAAAACTACTGTAAATGCACACACAGACTCTTCCATATACAAATATACAACTCACACACATACGCAATCATATATTTTTTTCACATTTACAACGGTTCTGAAATGTCTTTTTAATACATTTTCAGATGTTTTTGGTTTAATATACAGTATAAATTAAAAGCTTGATTGTTCTTATTGCTTGCTATTACTTTTTAGGTGATATTCAGGTTTGACAGAAAATTCTCATTGTATGCTTGCAGGGACGGTTCATTGCAAAACCCGGATGGTGAGTTTAATCAAATCCTTTCGGAAAACAATTGCTTTCACTATTTTAAATGACCTGAAGTTTTAAGTTACCCATATTTCTGTCTTAAAACGGTTTGCATCTCAAATTAAACAAGTAGTTCTTAGCATATTTTGTGCACAGATAATACCCCTTGACAGTCGTACAACATCTGTTACAGCATCTGTGACAAGCAGTTGATTACCAGCCATTCTGACTCATGCCTTAATTTGTATAAGCAAACATTGTGTATTTGTATTGATATTTGTGTTGTTTGTCTACAACGCATATTATTTGCCTATTATTAATGTAATTGGAAGCTGTAGGCAATGTAATGACTATGACAATGCCACAAAGATTGTCATAGATTTTGTATTTTTAATCTGCATGGGAATAAAGTGAGTCTGTGCATGTGTGTTTCCATAGGAGGGTGACCTTAAAGGTTTGACTCAGATGACACATGACCAGACGTCCACCTGTCTGCTGAACTCAACTCTTCTTGGCAGAAACTAGCAGGTGACTCTCATAAAACACACATACGTCCACACTCCCCACTGTGAGAGGAAGAGAGATAGAGGGAGCGACAGAGAGAAAATGAAAGCTGTCTAGTACCCGTAGCTCAAAAATTAATGTAAACACTTAAAATAGTATGAAATGATTGATGGAAGGGATATGGAGGCAAATATTCTTCTTTTACATACCAGAGGTTTTCAAACTTTTTGATACCATGGACTCCCAAATGATTATTCCCTTCCAAGGGAGCCCATTCCTAAAATACAAAAAGGCAGTTACAGATGTTTGTGTATAAAGACCCAGTTTCTCCAGTGAAAAATAAAACTATATTTTAAGTGTGATTATAATATTATCTGGAAAATATGTTCATAAAGTTTTCTTTTATGTTACTCTGTTTCTTTTATGTTACTCAGTCTTTTTTCTACATAACAGTTTTGTTAGTAGTAGAGAAACAAGGAATAAAATATTTCAAAGAATAAAATAATTGTAATTAATCTCTGGATTTTCAGCCAGAATTAAACAATGATGTAATTTATTTATTTTAATTTTGGTAAATTTTTCCATGGACCCCCTAGCAATCTCATGTGAACCTCCGAGGGTCCCTGGACCCCAGTTTGAAAACCCCTGTATACACAATTACTTATAGAGTATAGCTGAAAAAGGTACCTGTGTGTGG